CTTTATTAAAGAGGTTAATTTGAATCCCATCTTGCGTCCCTTTTATTTTCTGTTAATTGTTAAGAGATGCATAAAATAAGTGATTTCAATAATTAAAAGAATGATTTTTATTTTAAGAGGTCTCAGGTTTAAGTACCAAAAGTTATAGGTTATTTGAGTATTCATTGTCTAATAGTTGAGAGTCTTTAGAACATATATTATTACTTGTATTTTTAAGTACCCTACATTAATAAAAAAAGGTAAAGTACACAAATGGTCTCATGATTATAATAGACTATTTTGTTGAGTCTCTCGACTAATAAAAGTTATAAAATGATCATCTGACTATAGAAAGTTATTATGTTGAGTCACTTGACTATTAAAAGTTATAAAATGGTCGCCTGACTATTTATTATATTCTAAACTCGTCCTTTTCCGTTAAAAAATTAACGACAATTTGAGTTGGACGTTAACTTATTGATTGATACATGATAAAGGCCGATCTCATATTCTCAAACAACTATCATATCTCAGTCGCTATGTTAACGTCTAACTCAAATGATCGTTATTTTTTAATGAAAAATGATGAGTTTACAACATAATAAATAATTAGATGATCATTTTATAATTTTTAATAATTAAAAAACTTAATAAAATAACATCTTATAATCAAACCGTTTAAGTGTACTATACCCTAAAAAGAAAATTGTTATGAGACCACTTTTGTTGGATAAGCATGGCGGCTAAAGATACACAACTTTGATTCACAATTTAATAATAAAATTCAAAAAAGTTCTTACTTTTATGCTTATCTTAGTTGAGGAAAAATATACGTGTCTTTATCGATATAATTGTTTATTATTAATATATAAATTTTATCTTATATAAAATTAGGATCTTACACATAATGTCTATCATTTAATTTTATATGTTTTTAGGATTTTTAGATAAATAAAAATAGATGATTGAGATTATTTATTTATTTATTTTCTATAAATATTTTTCTTATTTTTTCTTATTAATCTTAAATGTCTATTTTTACTCATTCAATAACTTTTTAAAAAAATAAAAAAAAATGACACAGTATATCTTGTATCATATATCAATTAAGATTAATTATAATTACAATAATCTTAAATATATCCATATAAATAAAATTAAGATTAATTATTCTAATGAATAAATAAAGAATTATTGACTAAAATATATCTAAATGTAAATCATAAAAATATTAAAAATCTATATATATTGAGATTCAAATTAAAATAAATTTAGACTTAAAATATATACATGAATTTAAAATAGATGTTGAGCGTTAAAAATTTTCAAAAGATTTTCTTAATTTCTAGATTTGTATTCCTTACAATTTGGACGAATAATAAGTATTGACCTAAAGTTAGCTTTTGGTTTTAGGTCAAGCCCGGCCGACATTAGAAAAGCCAATTGCTGAACTCCTGCGGCTGGAGATAAGAAACTAATGTTTCGGCCGAATTTGACCTTTGATCACCATTAATTAGCATTACTTTTTGTCCAACTTGAAATTTTAGTCTATATTGAGTTTTACATTTATAATATTTTTGGCTTAATAATATTTGAGTCTCTCAAATATTTTCAAAAAAAATTAATATGACCATCGAATTATTTTTATACTTAATATGAGTCTCAAATTTAGAAAAAATCCAATGTAGCTTTTTTATCAATAATTTATGTTGTTGACTGTTGAGATGATGACATGTCGGTATATGGTGATTGATAATGTGACACATATGGATTGAATCAATTTTTTATCGATTTTGAGCGTTAAATTGATTTTTTTAATTTCAATAACTTATTTAATATTTTTAAAAATAAAATATTATTTAAATTTAAAATATGAAGAATGAAAATATTCAAATATTTAAAAAATAAAATATTAAAAATAAAAAATAATTATTAATTTTTTTAAATATATAAATATTAAAAAAAATGGTTTGTCCTCTTCGGATTGCTTTTTTATTTGGATAATTGGTCTTTTCTTTTACATTGGCCGTGGTGGTGTACCAACTAAAATATGTACTAAAATTGTATATTATGCATCAAAATCGGTATATTTCTTAGCATGAGTCGATTAGCCATGGAAAAGGATAATAAACAAAATGAATTGAATGGTTAGCGGGTGAGGAATTTGAAAACAGGTTACTTTTTTTTAAGTGCTACACTTCTTTATTAAATTTATAGTAATTGAATTTAAACTAATGATAAAATATATAATCTCATTTAAAAATATTATAATATATTTTCAATTAAAATCTTATTTTTATTTTTAATATTTATTTTTTTAAATATTTGAATATCTTATTTTATATCTTAAATTGAAAATAATTTTTATTTTTAAAAATAAATAAATAAAGCTCTAAACTTAAAAAAAAATTAACTTGACCCTTGAATTCAATAAAAAAAATTAATTCAATCCATATACACTATGTCAACAATCATTGTGGACAATCACATCAGCGTCGTAAATCGTTATGTTAATACTGTAAACTACCACATCAACATCATAACGATCGATGATAGAAACTGTTGGTCAAAGAGTCACATTTATTTATTTTTTTAATTTAAGATTCACATTAAGTGTAAAAATAATTTGATCACCATATTGATTCTTTTAGAAAGTTTGTAAACTTCACATACTATTAAGCCTATTTTTTGTTGTCTTTTTAAAGTAAAATTTATTTAGTTTTAAAAAAGGATCTTGGATTTTTTATACTATCAGTAACCTTCTCCTTTTTTACATATTATTAATGAATTTTAATTTGACTATAAAATATCTTGAATATAGCCCTACTTGCTTATCCTAGATTTAAACATTTAATTAATGTGAACCGAGAGAAATCAAGTTGGTTTTGTTATCCACTATCAGAGGTGAACAAATTTTGATTTAATTCAAAACAATATATATTTGATTTAATTTGATGTTAAATATTTTAATTTAATTCGACTCATAATTTCATAAATTTAATTACGTTCAAAAAAATTCTAAATAAAAATTGGATTATAAAATATGACACAAAATTTTTAATAATTAATATATTGATTTTCAAGTTCAAGTTGACTCCTTCAACTTTGTATGATATATACATATGACATATGAAAAATATGAATATATATATATATATAGTTATAGTTATAGAAAATCATTTAAATTAAAATCAATTATTATCATAACATTATAAATATTTACAATCAAATTTAAACAAAAACTTAAACAATTTAATTTGCATTGGCTCAAATTTTATAAACTTGACTCAAATTTTTTTAATTAAAATCTAAATTATAAAACATGATTCATCAAATCAACTAATTTAAAAAATTCTACTCGATTCGATCAAATGCATATCACTCCAATCTACTACTAGGATGAAAGCACGAAAGGGGTTGCACGTGCATGAGGAAATTCTACAGAACGACAGTCTTAATATACGTCTGAAGAAAGACGCTACCAGAAATGTTTTATTTTTTAACATTTCCAGTAAAAAATTACCTAAAACATTAATGTTTTTTAACATTTTCGGTAAAATATCTAATATTAACATTTCTGATAGATAAAATAATGTTTAGGTAGCGCTTTATTAGATATGTTAACAAACTCGGTAAAATACCCAATAATAACATTTTCAATAGAAATAATAATGTTTTAGGTAATTTTTTACCAAAAATATTAAAAAAATAATAATATTTTTGGCAACGTTTATCCTTAGTTGTATAATAGGTTGACGCACGTAAGACTTCCCCTGGCCATGGAGTTGCCGTCAGTCGATCGTCACGTCCTTCCAGGAATAGAGTTAGTTTTTCATTTTCGTAATTGTCAACAAGCAGCCAGCCGCAATCTTTAATAATATAGCATTAATGAATACAGCTCAATCATATAGCTCTTTTCGTCTTATTATTATTTATTATTTTTTAGTAGTTAATTTTTTTTATAATTTTACTTTTTATTATTAAAAAATCATTATTGATAAAATTTTTAAAAATATTTTAAAACCTTTATTTAATAATTAATTGACCGTCTAATTCAGTTGGTAGAGCGTAAGACTCTTAATTTTATGATTGTGGGATCGAGTCCCACAGTAGGCAATTCATAATTGCCGGAGGTCTTCTACGGAAGTCACTTTCAACCTAGCGTTGGGGGCCAGCCTACTACCCTACCTCCCTCTTACTCTATTATATATGAGAATAGGGCCAACTAATTTTTTATTTAAGTAACTTTTTAAATAAAAAAAAATCTAATCTGCAAAATTAAATTTTGACAAATTTACAGTATAAACTTCTTAAAATATCAAGATTAAGAATATTTTAAAGAGACGATAAAAGCAAAGTTAAAAGGTGGGTTTTGATACATTTCAATAATGACAATTTGACAATATCATCGACAAACATATTACATTCACGGGATATCTGAATGATATCAGATTCATACACATTCTCGTAGTTGATGAATAACCCAAACGAGGAAGAAAAGACTTAGAGAAGAGTCGACTTCTTCAATGAACTTCACCGCAGTTAAAAAATCTGTTTGAATTTAAATCTTCTCAAGTAAGTCCATAGCATCATACAGTGAACAATCTCCGCAATTCAGGTTGTAGGATATAGGTGATGCCAACTGTTCTATGATATCCGCGGGTGAGAGCAGTCGCTACTCTTAAAATTTTTAAAATTTTATATATTTTATTATAAATTCATTATTCCAAACATAAAATATTGTGTCCGTCCTTTAATATCCTAGTAGCCATCTACCTTTATGATTTCAGATGATACCACCGATGAAGAATAATAATTTAAAATAATTAAAATTAAAATTTTAAAAAATAATAAATTTAATGGGAGAATAATGTTTTTTAATAAGACCCCTCAATTTTCTTTTTTACCATGAGCCGGCTCAATTATTAGACCATAGGAAACATCATTTAATTTAACGTTGAAAAATATCTTGACCGTCTACAACCTCTATATAATGGAATCTAAGTTCAAGTACGTTCCACAGCAGTTCTAAACTTACAATATATCCAGAAAGTTAGCATTCCTGTAACTTAATTCCCAATGGCACCAACACCCCAATCCGCCGAAGAAGAGCAGCGCCGATCAGCTAACTATCATCCCACTATTTGGGATCCCACTGCCATCAAATCCTTCACTACTCCATACACTGTAAGTGATTGGCGTTCCAATTCTTCATTTATCTGTTCGAATTTGAATCATGTTGAATTTATTGAACTCAATCGATAATCAAACTTTAATTAATCCATATATGTTTTTACTTTTAGTATGAACTCTATGGTACGCAATTGGAGGATCTGAAACAAAAAGTTGGAAAATTGCTTGGCTCGACGAAAGGCATAGCTTCCTTGTTAAAGCTAATTGATTCGTTGAAGAGGCTTGGAGTGGCCTACCATTTTCAGCAACAGATTCAACAGGCTTTGGATCAACTGAATGTAGATCAAAATCTTGTCTCCTACGATCTTTCCACAGTTGCAGTGCGTTTTCGACTCCTACGAGAGAATGGTTATCCCGTTACTGCAGGTCGTTACTTAGTTTTTCTTTTATTTTATTAGCCTATGAAGAATATGCACGAAAGTGTTCGAATTTTGAACACAGATTCGATATGACCAAAATATGAATCAAATTATTACGGTGAAATTGGACAGATGTGTTGGCTAAATTCAAAGGTGGAGATGGGAAGTTCATGAGTGGAGACGTTGAGGAGCTTTTGAGCTTGAACGAAGCTTCATTCATGGCAATACAAGGCGAAGAAATCCTGGAAGAAGCCAAATGTTTTAGCAATCAAAGTCTCAAGATTTTACTAGGAAAAATGGAGGAAGTTAAGGCTAAGCAAATTGTACGGTCATTGGAAGTTCCACTTCATTGGAGGATGGAAAGGGTCGAAGCACGAAACTTCATTGACTCCTACGCCATGGATGATTCAAAGAGCTCAGTTTTGCTCGACCTTGCTAAGTTAAACTACAATCTTGTCCAATCAGCTTACCAGCAAGAACTGAAACAACTTGCAGAGTAACAACATTTACTTAATCTATGCTTTTCAACATCGATTTTAGTTTTGGATAAAAGTTTATAATTCATGAAAACAGGTGGTGGAGGGAATTGAACTTCAAGGAGAAGCTTAGTTTCAGCCGAGACCGTTTGATGGAAATATATTTCTGGGCTACTGGTTTGAGCTTCGAGCCCCAATATGCGAAATGCAGGATCTGCTTCACTAAATATGCATGCCTAGCAACCGTAGTCGATGACATCTACGACATTTACGGATCACTCGACGAACTCGAACGTTTCACCAAAGCTGTCACAGGGTACTAACATTCTTTCAGTTATAATTATTCAATTGGTTCACTAAATTTGCATCCCCTGATTAATTGGTTTCACAATAGGTGGGATGTGAAGGCCGTCCAAGAACTACCAGAGTACATGAGAGTAATGTTCTCGGCCATGTCGGACTTCACTAATGAATTAGCCCAACAGACCATGAATGACCATGGCCTGGACGTTCTGCCATACATCAAAGAACAGGTAACACGGAGAACCCGAGAGTCAACGTTTCGTAGATTCGACTGTTAATTAATTTGATGCAACTGATATGTTTGTTTATTTCTGCGAGTTGCAGTGGGCTATACTCTGCAGAGCACATATCACAGAAGCCAGATGGTTTTACGGAGGTCAAACTCCAACTTTTAATGAATATATAGAAAATGGATGGGTTTCAATTGGAAGTCTTGGAGGGTTGGTTCTTCTTTGTTTTGTGGAGGTAGACTCCATTGCTGATCGGTTTCCGAATTGTCTCGAGGATTATTCCCAGTTGTTTTACTGGTCATCTCTCGTTACTCGACTCAGCGATGATCTTGGTACTTCCAAGGTAACATATATATTGTTCTTCGACACTTGATTTTGCAGACCATCACTGCAAAATGTGATGTTTTTCTTTTGATTTTGAAGGCGGAGATGGAAAGAGGGGACATACCGAAGGCGGTGCAGAGTTACATGATCGAAAAAGGAGTATCGGAAGAAGAAGCAAGAGATCACGTAAAAGAACTGATAAGCTATGCGTGGAAGAAGATGAATGAAGAAGTTGTGGATAATTGTTTCCCTCAAGTGATGGTGAATTTAGCTAAGAACATGGCTCGAACTGCGCAATGCATGTACCAGCATGGCGATGGAGTTGGGACATCAACCGGTGTCACTAAAGATTGTATTGTTTCATCTATTCTTAAGCCTATTCCATTTTAGATTACAAATAATGTGCGTGTGTTTTCGATTTCAATATTTGGTTTAATGCAAAAAAATGGACGTGTTGAATAAAGAGTTTGGGATTCAATATTCTGTCTTGAACAAAAGTAATTGATTTTGTTTTAATTAGTTATTGAACATATTTAATTTAACTTAATTTAATTTTTATACATTTAATTTTAAAAAAATACAAATTATAAAATAACAATAATAAATTCAATTAACTTAAAATTTTCATTACATATGAATCCAACTCGAATATTCATCCTTTTCCGTTTCGTTAAACTGTATAAAAGTCAAACGTGCTCATAAAACTACTGTCAGCCTTGTCGGGTGTAGCCTCTTTATTTTGACAACGCAAATTGATGTAATGGAGTCATGGTTTTGATGTGACTTAAATAAGATATAATTTTCCCTAGATTTATGTACACAACATACTCATATCATGTTGTATTATAAAATTTTTAAGACATTATCATTTTATGTTATAAAAATCTTACATGTTCTAATAGCATTTGTTTCAAATTTTATTTTAAATATTCCCATATCATGGGTAAGCATAGTCCCCCCCTCCATTTATTATTGTTGTTCTCTTACTATTTGATAGGGGCATGAAGTCAATCATCAATACCAGGCAGATGCAAGTAGGACTAAGGTTGGGCAAGTGTTTAACTTAAATTCAAATTTCATTCGATTGTGTTAATTTTAAGATTTTATTTATGTATATTTTAAATAAAATTTGGAGGTCTCCTACGGAAGTTGCTCTCAACCTGGTGTTGGGGGCAGCCTACTATCTTACCTCCCCCTTACCCCATACATATGGGAAAAAAGGGACATCCATTTAAATAAAAGTTTACAAGAAACATATATAATAATATACAGTTGTCTATCCTCAAAAATCTACTGCCGTCAAACATGAATCCAAACCAAAGGAGTTCAAAGTCAGAGACAGAGACATGTAAGTCGTGGTCTTAGATTACGTCGGAAAGGATAAACTTTCTGTTTAATAAAGCAATAATGTATGGCCCACGAGTATCTGTCTAAACCCTAGACATGCACATGGACATGCACGTCCAAATTGGAACAATTTTAAGAGGACATACTCTATAGATTTGAATGTATATTTTGCTTTTCATTGTAATGTCATTATTTTTCTCAATCATGCTTATCCAATATATTTATTGAACCATGACTAAATCCAACAGATCTAAACATTTCGTTATCAGATATTATTGTTTCTAATTAAGAAAAGGGGACTAATCAACCTGTATTAAACTTTCTAAAACCTGATGATCAATGTGCAATCTAATATCAACAGCTCAGATTGAGGGGAGACGCGAATTTACCCATCACCGTCAGTGAGAATCTGATGAACGAGTCGGAACTGTAGGACCAGCCACTCTAGAAGCTATTGCTTTCGTGCTATACATCCCAACGATCCTTCCGGGAATTGAATTCCCATCGCCGGTCACTCATACTACCATACATATCAGTGAATTTCCTAAGGCATTCTCTTCTTATTTTGTAATGCCCGTTTGTGTCTCGGCTGATTGCTGCACTTGAAAGTTTTGATGTATCTATTACCCAAGCAAGCCTCACATATTCAACTGTTTTATGCAAGCTTGCATTCGCATACAAGAAGTTCATGAGCACGTCCTCACAGTTAAAATAGGCGTCGACCACTTCTCTTCCCAGCTTAGCTTGCTCACTCCAATACCGTTGGAAGGCTACTTGACTATCGATGAAAGCAGCCCCTCTAAGAATCATATTATAATAACCCTTATTTCATATTTCTCACCGCTATACTCTAATTGGTTCCCGTCGACATACCGTGGGTAGAATCCTACAATCCTATCAGGATGTTGCCGCCACAACATAAATCCACGCTCAATAACATCTTTATATCTTCATCAAGCTCAAGAACCGCACGAGTCTCAATCAACGCGCGGGTCAATCTTGAATCGATTATTGAGGGAGTTCTGACCCTCAACTCTGATCCGAACAGGTACTGCTGAGTCGAGATCACTCAACTTAGGAGGTATCCCTTTGTTCTAGACCACAACGATTTCTTTTACCGAAGCAAACCTTGAATAATGGTTCACAAACATTTTCAAATTCCAGAGACGAGCATCATAAGACATTGTTAATAATGTAAACTGCGAAAGCTGACCCTTCCATGAATATGGTCCACTGCCTCCGTAAATGAAGGTAACACCTGTGCAAGAAAGCACAACTCCTAAAGCAAATACCAGGGCTAGAACTGATCTTCGAGCACAAGTGTTCGGTTTTATCCAGCTTAGCAGATATGAAGGTGCTCGATTTAAGCGGCTGACAATCCGTCTCTGTTTCGAGGAAACTACATTTGCTCTTTCCCAAGCAATAAGAGAATCACTTCTCTTTCTCGAGTAATCTGAACACCAGTTAAGGGGGATAATGCAGTTCACTGCTCCTACTAGGACACCTAACAACAGAATGAGGCCAGCAACTGCTGCAACTGAAGCACAGCCAAGAAGTAAACGATGTCGAGATGATGATACCGGGCACCATTCCAGGCATTCCGACCCTTACTGTACTCTTCAAAGGGAAACGGAACTTCAACATTTCCTTGTAATCAACTAGAACTTCGACCTTGAAAATCCACACACGTCGTCCATATGTTTCTCCGCAGTCCTGACCAATCCGATAAAGATTTCCATTATACCTAAATGGTCGTCCCCCTTTAAGAGCCCCAAAACTACTGTAAGTATTATAAATAGGGTTCTTCTTGTGTAGTTCCCAAGGACCAAGGGGTGAGCTGCTATACGAAATTTCCAACTGTCGGTTCGTTGTTCCGAAATAGCAGTGTTCTGAGCCAAAAAGCCAGTACTCTCCATCATGATCGATAAAATGGATCAACAAAGGGCTTCTTCATGATGATCCTATCCAATTCCCACTCTAAGGGAAAATTGGTTACTCGGTACAGACGAAGTTCTAATTTCTGACTGATTTCGGGCATCATGTATACCTGTAGTCACGGGCAAAACAACAGACAATTCTGCCAATAAACGAGATAACGTACGGAGTAAACAATATGACTATCATCAATATGATGGTACTTAATTATCCAAAAAAAAACAATATGATGGTACTTGATTACTATGAGAAACAGTGACATTTTAACTGGCCAATCCTAGAAACTAGAAAGATTGGTGTTCAAAAATTTTATGTTATTTGGACTTGAGGGTGAATTTTGGATGCTTGTATGGTACGACATGGGCATGTACAAAAATAATTTTAAAATGGAGGATCATTCCCTCATACCATATCTGAATCTGTCGTGTTCGGGTTTGTGTCAACTAATTAGGCATGCTAGCGATTTCACGAGCCTATATGTTCATGTTCAACACTACTTTGGCCATGTCGTATTAGATTGCACCAGTTATGTTCCATCTTGTTTTCCAATATTATGAAATCATAGGGTTGTTAAAGTTGTTGATATTAAGCAACAATTTCATGTAAATCAAACCTAATGTAGATGGTAAAAAAGAAAACAAACGAAAGATATCGATAGTCTTACTTGGCCATGATAATTGAAGACATATGGGTATGAGAGATGCCATTCCTCATCCAAGGCAATGCCCAGTTGTTGCCATGTTGCTCCTTTATCGACACTTTTTGCAACCCCGATATCCCCTTGCATGGTGTACGGGTTCTTCGTTTCTTAAAATAGGTAAAAGATATCTCCCTGGACCATGATGCATTTCAAGCAAACATGAGAATAGATTTCAGAAACAAACAAAAATTAACATATAACGTAAACTTTAAAACACAGAACATTCACCGGAAAAAATCAGGTCTAAATACGTAGTGAATGAAGCAAAAGACTTACACTCCCTCAATCTTGTTTATTTATTATCAGTATAAAAAGATGCATGACACAAAACTAGATATTGGGTGTGCATGTCCAACTTCCTTCCAAACCCCCCAAAGTACCTCAAATATATAGAAAAAAGGTTCAACACATTCATATCAGACTCATACCCATGCCCGCATAATATAGAATTCATTTGAAAATAACTAAATTACAGTCTAATTTAACACCTTAGCAATCTAGTCCATTTCCATAAAAAATATTAGTGGTATAAACCTAATAAAAAAATAAATTAGAAAACAAATAAGATAGTCTGGTAATATAGTTTAATCACAACAATGCTTTAAAGGACCCGATTTGCACCATATCTAGGTACCTCCTGCAATTCGTTGGTCAATAAGAGATGAGCTTAGTTCATTTTATTCTAAATGTAACAATAGTTCATGGAAGTCAATTTCCTTGTTCCATCTAAGTGCAGTAAACCCAAGAATCATACGAGTGGAACTTTGTCGGCAATCAACTCTTCCATTACAACTTTTTAGAATTCGTAAAAACAATGTGGAAGAAGTGGGGAGAGCAAGAACTATGTCATATGACTCACATCGTCTCTTGATTTCAAACAAACCATGCCACAAGTCAAGGCGAGATTCACTAGCTCTTTACTCAAAATCCTCTACCTTTATTCTTGATTTAGGCCTGATTCTCTCATTCACATTATCTCCCAGAGAAAAACTGTCAATATGCTTGAGAATCAAGCTCGAGTCTTCCCAAGCCAATCTCTATTCAGATAGCTTACCAGTTCAAACAAAACAAAAAAGGAGTAATGTTGTAAGTGTCGACTCAAAAGTGTATTCTAGCTACTTTTGTAATTTGTTACTAATCGACATGGAATAATTATAAAATAATGGAACAGAGCCGGTAAAATGGGACTTTTAATTCAACTCTGTAATGTTACCTTGAGCAGCTTCAATGCTAACAGAAAGCAGCAATTCTCAACCAAAACAGCAGCATGAGCCCTACGATTCCTCGAGAGACTTTTCTATTGCATTGACATATCTAGCCAACACAAAATCTATATATTCACAAATCCAGTTGATTTTCCTGTGTATTTCATTGTCAATAGAGAGCTTAACCGATAAGCTAAAAAGGATCGGTATCTGGAAAGTCAATTATTCTGCTTTGCACCCCATGTCTTATATAGTTCATCCTACTTCAACAACATAAAGTTGAAGACAATAAATC